AAAAATTCTAAAATGTTATATGTATATAATTATATGTATATATATATATATATATATATATATATATATATATATATATATATATATATATATAATAGGCTTTATGTTCATTGAGAGTGCAAAGATATTTGGATGTACCTTTTACATGGGATGTATAAAATAAAATCAAGCAGCCCGGCTTTTCATCCAGTCCACTAGATGTCAGCACTTACATAGTGAAGTCTTGACTGTTTACAATAACGAATAAACCAAACTGTGCTACTACTTCCTTATCACGCTTTGCGACATAATTTTAAATAATAAAAACAATAATACATTCTGTCTAAACTATATTTGCTGATCAACAGACATGTCTGGAATACCGCCGGATTCTTGGCAACCCCCCACAGTATCGATGGATACAACGTAAGTCGCACAGTACATTAGTAATAGAATTGTGAATGAATGAGACACGTTTTGATAACACATTGCACTATCAGTACGTTATAGCTGTGGTCATATATATATATATACATATAAACGTGTAGCTTCAATGCTTGATTGTATGAATGATGAAAAAGGGTTAAAGATCGAATCACGCACTGATTAGAGATTGTTTTATATCAGAGTGCTAACGTGACCCAATGTCCGACTAATTCGGTTCTTCCGAATGTGCATCATTAGACAACGCTAAATTTTAAGTTGTTTCTGAAAGATGTTATATGCTCTTTAGTGTTGGGTGTAATTACTAAGTAATCTAATTAACGTTACTGTAATTTAATTACTTTTCCCTTGAAAAAGTAAAGTAAGGGATTACTCTGAATGTTGCTGTACTTCTGTAAGGACTTCTGATGTAATTGCATTAAATATTGTATAGATTATAAAACAATAGTGGATTTAACATCAAAATGTAATGTTATTTTTATTGTAATTTCTCCCTTTACACACAGTTCAGTTCAAGAATATTTTATGCAATTGTTTATTTGAAAGAATCAAAAGTGCAGTTTTGTGTCTATCCTTGGATTGTTCAACTGGTTGAGGTTGATATGGGATTTAGAAAGTAATAAGTAATCCAATACATTTTATAGAGAGTAATTAGTACAGTAATCTAATTACTCTGTTGACGATGTAATTAGTAGCTAGTAATTAAGGTAACACTATTTTACAGTGTCCTTGCTACACGTTACATGAAGTTACTGTAATAATAACTATAAATGATGCATAATTACATGCAACTAACCCAAACCAACCCCTATTCCTCCTAACCCTAACTCTATTACATGTAGTTAATTATTATTACTCAGTACGTAAGTTAAATGTATAACACAGAGACCTTAAAATAAAGTGTAATCTTTATTAATGACTTTTTAGCGCAACTTACCCAACACTGAAGCTCTTACATACAGAAGCAAGATGGAGTATGTTTGTGAATTTCTAAATTTTGTATGGCAAATTCTATATTCACAAATAAAAAAAACTGCTATGTGTACCAAAATGAGTCGCTGAAATAGTTATTAATGCTTATTACCAAAACAAAGACACAGTGTAATGTGCTTTTGGGAAATATTAAGATTTTGTGCTCTTTCCTCTTCAAGGTTTTTTAGTATGTTGATTTTTTTTTTTAAAGTAATCTTTATTGTCTGTTATCAGTCATCTGTTTTAATCTGTAACTTTCAAATTATTTCTTGATAAAAAAAAAGATATATGAACAGACATTTGGTTTATGCTTGATGCTAAAATTAGCAATCCACCATTAAAATTAAATCAGCTATTATTCAGCTATAAAAGTAACTTACTTTTGGCCTATAGGACTTGTCCAAATTGGAGACGGCTCTCTGTTCAGAATGTGTCACTAAATTGTTTATCTGCTCTGATTCGATTTTGTGAAAACCGGTTAGAAAACAGTTAGACCGGTCCAATTAAAAGATCCAGTTCAAAAGAACAATTCATACATGAATCAGACATTGCTAGTAGACATACCCACACTTCACATTGTCTTTTCAGGATGGGAACTATAGTGCTAGAACTGTACTGGAATCATGCGCCAAAAACATGCAAGAATTTTGCAGAGCTGGGCAGAAGAGGATATTACAACAACATCAAGTTCCATCGCATCATCAAAGACTTTATGGTTCAAGGGGGAGATCCAACAGGCACAGGTGAGACAGCCATGGAAACAATACTCATCATTCAACACTCCTTTTAGACATTTCATTTGACAGTTCAATAAGATGAATCAGAGTAAGGTTGTTGAGAAGTCAAATTCTACATAGTTGTTACAGAAAAATTGGTGAATTAATGTCAATAATTTGCTTTACCAAGGGAAACCATGACTACTTTTGTCTTCAGTACCATAATAGATGAATGGAATTTAATTTTAGTTTGTTTGGGTTGTTTAACCATTAATTTGTATGACAAATTTCTGCAGGTCGTGGTGGTGCATCTATATATGGCAAGCAGTTTGAGGATGAATTGCATCCAGAGTTGAAATTTACAGGTGAGTAGAAATACACAAGAGTAGATTTAATAGTTCTGTAAATAGCAGTAATGAGCAGAGCACTCAAGTGCTATGGAAATATTTTGTCCGCTCACAAATTTATGGCATAATTTTATAAAAAATAAATATCCTGCATAAGAACTATAGGTTGTTGCTTAGATTTTTAAATTGCAGATCAGCAAATGCTTGATTACTCAGGTTTAAGTGAATCTAATGATTTGTGGACTTTAGTGTATTTAGTGGCTGTATTGTAATTGCTCACAGCACTTGATCATAATAAATGTCAGCAATATAGTAAAAGTGGGTTGAATCATATTTATCCTAATATCATTGCTTAATTTAATAATAGAGTACAAGTTTATTATAACTCAAGCTGACTTGAAAACCATAAAGTCTTCTCATAATTTTCATGATAATTTAAAAAAAAAATGATGTTTGTATTTTGTAGGTGCTGGAATTCTCGCAATGGCCAATGCAGGGCCAGATACAAACGGAAGCCAGTTCTTCTTCTCATTGGCTCCCACACAATGGCTGGATGGGAAACACACTATATTTGGACGGGTGTGCCAGGGCATTGGAGTTCTTAATCGTATTGGCATGGTTGAAACCAACAGTCAGGACCGTCCTATGGATGACATTAAAATTCTCAGAGTGAATGTACCTAACTAAGATGTCTAACATTTTATGCCATATTTTTGTACTGTCCTTTTATTACATTAAACTTTCAGAGTTTTCATTAAATATGTTCTCTTGGTTACCCCGAGTACAAATCCCTGGCCAGAGGGTGGCGTCTTAACTATATGAGTTTGGGTTCATTATAGAGAAACTGTCTTTTTAATGTGTACATTCCTTTACATGATGCTAAATGACACAGAAAGGTGAAGAATTATTTGGCAACTTGCATGAATGTAATTGGAGATGACCGTTATGGTTTCAACACACTCACACTGCATTAGTTGCTCATAGATCAGTAAAGATGTCTGGGTGTTTGAAATGCTTTCTTTGGAACAAAATAAGAGAAAGCTATCATACAATTTTTAAGAGAAAGCTATCATACAATTTTTAACATCAAATATGGAGATAAAGTGTACTAGTGTCACAGCACAAGGTCACCAACAAAATATGCAATCATAAATCATTGTGTCGTTTATAACTGCTGGCAGACATGATGACTAGCTTTAAAAAGGGTTAAATACAAATAGTATACACAACATTGCAAAGGTATCTTGCCCTAGGCTAGCAGTGACTTTTTTTTCCTTTTTTTTGGCAGAACAACATCAGTTTGAATCAATATCACTGTAATCCTGAGTTTCTGGACAGATGTTTTTTATGATCCTAGACTTCAAAGGATTTTTATTGAAAACTCACATTTCAGAGTGCAACTATCCTGGATTAAACTTAATCTGTGTCTATGGAAAAAAGTAAACAAAACCAGGGAGGTTGTGACCCACAGAATCCTATTATTGTTGGAGCCTAAAACCTTTTAAATGGGCTCTTGTTGAGTTTATAAGCTGCTCAGCAGATCCCATGAGGAATAAGTAGAATAAATCATTTGAAAGCATTGCTTTTTATCATCCGGGAGATGGGGAAAACGAACAGACAGAAAGAAAAATGATTTACCTTCTACCCCATATAAATGAAGATGATTTGCAGTATGATCTGATAGACGTTAAAATGATTCTGCTACACATTCTGTAAATACATAATATGTTTGATTTACATTTCATATAATCTGTTATACAAAGTATAATGAATCTAAAAAGATATTACAATGTGAGATTAAAAAGCTTATTATAAAAAGACTACATACTACTTGAAAAATAAATGTATCTCCTTATACATGACCTGTACTTCCAAACACCTTGGTGTTGATCAAGCACATTTTACATAATGCCCTCAAGGTATGTGAAACACTGAATATCACTGACAGAAATATCAATAAAGCTCTTACCATGGATCAAATAAAAACAGTGCCTGAAGGCTCCGTTTATCTCATAACAGGTTAACTTGCATGAGAAGATCATAAAGAAAATTTCTAATAACCCGTCCCTATGAGAATAGCCAGCTGTCAAAATGCATGATTAGTTTGCTTTTCATCATGGCCGCCCTGCTTTAAGGCGATGCATACAGTATGTGTTTGCATAGTAAAAGTGTCTGCATCTGTAAATATGAGTTGAGATTTAGTTTTCCTAATGAGACAAACAATCTTTTGTCAAAACTTGATCTCATAAACAGCACTAATAGATCACTGTCCAAAAATAAATGTTTTATATCGCTAAAAACAAGGCACTATTACATTTCTGTATGCAGGAGGGAGAACATATGCAGTTGTGTCAGCTATTTACTTATGTTACTCTTTTGCCTTTTTAATCTATTGAACTTTCACTAGGGAACATTACTATATTTTTTCTTCAAAATGAATAACTCAATGGAATTGACCTGTTAAAGCTTCAAAAGCTTAATTTGGACTGAACTGTGGTTTAATATCTACTGTAGGGACAACTGACTTAATGGGAGCTGAGCATTAAAGGTTGTCTGGGGTCTTTTCTCTGTCTGTACAGGATGACAGAGTATAACCATGTGCTGAAGGTCTGTGAGTTTGAGGTAGATCCTCTGCTGGAGTGCAAGCCAACTGGAGACGCTGAGGGCAACACAGACAAAAAAACATTATTCAGTTATCTCTATTACATTTCATCCCATAGGAAATGAAAGAAATTCATTCCTGTTGTGAATCAGTTGCCTGCTGGTTCTTCTAAAGGTTTTAATTTAGAAACACTTCAAAACATTTATATATTGTTGAAATAAAATTTTCAAAAAATAACATATATTAGATAATCAGAAGACCTTAAACTGTGAACATAAAAGCAAAATGAATATATACATATATATATATATTTCAGCCATGTCTATTAATCCTTGAGAACCACCCATATTTAGTGAGTCTAAACATCGGTGAAATCAGAGAGAAAAAAACATAAAGGAGCACTTATATTTGTTTTTTCACGACAACACCTACCTCCCAGAGGGTCCCTTTCTCCTTGTACAGTTTGTAGATCATGTTGATGGGGATGAGGGAGAGAGAGGATATAGCCAGGAACCAGCCGATACCGTATGCCCACCATGGATACACATATGTGTTATTAAATTTCAGGGGACTGTACTTGACCAAAGAGAAAATAAAGGTGCCCTACAGGACATAATTGACAATACAGGTTTGATCAGAACATAATATGTATTCTTAAATAAAAAATAAAATAAAAAAAATATATATATATATATATATATATTAGAAAAGCATAATAGGCCAAATATAATTTTTGCATTTTTCATTATGGTACATTCTAATGCATCAATACGCTATAAGATTCTGATGTTTTTAGACATGCATATGAAAGTTTGTTATGTATTTCAATAAACTGTGCTGAGTGCTCCTATTTTACCCTGTGACAGAAACACACTTACTACACAGACAGAAGGGGTGACATAGAGCCAACAGTACTTCATCACAGGCCAGGGTTTGTAACCAATCATGTCTTCTATGTTCTCATAGAATCGGTCAGCACCTTGGAGAGAGACAGCACAATTTTAAGCACATAAAGTCCCATGAAAGTGTAGCAAGTACAATTTAAGGCACATTTAAATGTAGGCCACTCACCATATACCCAGCCAATGGCCACAGACTGACATATAGCCAGGAACAGGAGAGTTGCTCCACTGTACACGTAATGATCAAACAACTGAATGATGTACAGACCACCCTGTGAAACAAAAATAGGACACTTTTTTAAGATATAAAACAAAGATATTCGAATGAACAAAATGCAAAGCCATGGACTACAAAAACTTCTGCAGGACCAGAAATGCCTTCCGAAAACAACATTTTTACATATTTACAGGTTTCATTATATAAAATACTATATAAAAATGGTATATACCTCTGTAATCATTAAGAGGCTCATCAGGTAGCAGAAAAGGCAAATCCCTAAAAGCAGCATCTCTCTTCTGAGGCCACGTCTCAACACAGTGGGAAAGATGTCTGTCACTGATGTCATTATGCTCTCCAGTCCAACAAACTGAGTGACACAAGAAAGGACATTGGATGGGGAGGCAGCAGGAACAGGGGGAGAGCAAAGCAACAGATTTTAGGCTTAGAAAGAGAAAAGGGTCTAACCTGGCTGTCCAAGCCCAAAAGGATGATCATGGTGAAGAAACACACAGCCCAGAACTGAGACCATGGCAACATTGTCACCGCCTGAGGGTACACTATGAACACCAGTCCTGGACCTAAGGACAGCCAAGGGAGGAGGTACAATGTGGTACAGTGACCAACACCACCTAGAGCCTCTTACAGTATCCATACATTATCATACTTACTACATAGCTACCAATAAATAAATAAAGATATTATATATTGGAGCTGAAAGTATTTTATTAAGACACATAATGCCACAATTCAAAATAGCACTTGCAAAGGATGACAAGTTACAATTTTTTTGAATAACAAAGACTATTGAATTGAGGCAGTGACAATGAGACCATATTAAAACGAACAATGTTATTCCGTTTTAAATTCAGTTTGATCATTCATTTGATATGTTGGAAAGTTTCAAAAGAACAATAAAAATTTTTTCTCTTACCTGACTCAGCCACAAGGGATATGTCCACACCCTGCTCCTGTGCCATGTGACCCAGAACAGAGAAAATGGCAAATCCAGCCAAAAAACTGGTTCCACTGTTCAGCAAGCAGAGGTAGAAAGAGTCCCTAGGAATATTTTCACATCACAAACATTAGCTTATTGGAGAGGCTACTCACTGCAAAGCAAATTGGTGGAGCTTATGTCTAGCTCCCCCTCGCTAGACGTCCAGCGAGGAAGAGCGAATGTAATTTGGCCCTATTGGGTGGAGCTAGAATATCCAACTACACCCTACCCTACTCACAACTCTATCCCTCCACCCCATTAGATGTCCAGAGAGGTGGAGCTGGACATCATTTGACTCTGCAGTGAGCACCACTTGGCTTATTGTGTCTGTTGTGTATTTGGTCAAAAGAAAAAGAAAAAACAGCAAATGTAATAGTGTCAAAAAAGAAATAATTTTTTATTTTATTTGATCAAAGTAAAAACAGTAATATTGTGAAATTTTATTACAATTTTAAATAACTGCTTTCTATTTTAACATTTTAAAATGTAATTTATTCCTGTAATTTATCCCTGAAAACTAAATACAATAAGATTTATATTGTACATTTTGAGGATGTCATATTTTTCTTCTTTGTCAGACGTTTTTATTGTTTATTGTGATAAGAAGAAATTTCAATAAAAATAAAAATAAAATAAAAAAAAATGTTCAGAAGCCATTTCTCCAGTCTTCAGTGATTCTGATTCAGTGATCATTCTAATATGCTGACAAGTAACATTTCTTATTGTTATTACAGTTGGTCACGGTTGTGCTGCTTAATATTTCTGTGGACATTGTGCAAAAAAAAATTTAATCATCTTTAAGTGAAAACTACAGATTAAATTAATAAATTTTATCAGTTCAAATAAAATGTTCTGCTTCATTTAATGCACACTCACCTGTAACAATTATTGTTATATTGATTGTAGCTTCCAAGAGAGCTGAGGTACCCAAGACATATAGCATAAGAATAAAAGACCTGAGTACCAGCATCCATCCATACCTTGGAAACGAACAAAAAAACAAGACAATTCAGAAAGAGTAACTTCAAAAAGCGCAATACAAGAAAACAGTAATACAGTCTCTAAATTAGATTTGCTGTAACTCATTCTAGGCTTTCTAATAACTTTACCTGTGGGTCAGCTAGCCGTGTCAGATCCGGGTACATATAATAGTGGATGCCGTTGATGGCACCAGGTAGAGTGACCCCTCGTATGAGCAGTATCAGGAGCATTACATAAGGGAATGTTGCTGTGAAATAGACTGCCTGTAAATATAATAATATTACAGCAGTTAATTGACTTTTAATTGACAATAATGTAGAGTGTATGGGTATTTCATGCTGAAAACTGTTTTCTGTTCTGTCACCGGTAATAAAAAGATTGAAACTTATTTAAGCCATTTGGTGCCATTTTGTATGCCCATAGCTTTTTAATGAAAGGTATTATGGATGTTTGTAAGGACTATAACCTTCCCAGTAGATTTCACGCCTTTCCAGATGCAGAAGTAGACCAGGGTCCAGACGAGTAAGAGAATAAGGGCCAAGTCCCACCTTACTGTTCCCAAATGCTCTATTCCACTGGACAGTTGCAACACTCTGTGACTGAACATACAGAAAGCATTCAACAATATAATAAAACTGTGAGTTGGCTGTCTTATGTAAATGAATTGCTATGTAAGAAAGACTCAAGCAGAACATTTTCATATTCATATACCATGAAATTTGCATGGCACCATGTCCAATTGTAATAGTAATTCTGACCTGGTTTGATGTCAGATTCTCTAAAATGTTAAACTTATATATGAATTGTTATTTTATTCTCAGCGTAAGTTCATTGCATTTTCATTTAACTCACTGCCAGAACTCCATCACAGAGGAAGTGGCATTAAGAGGAGACGTCCACTCTGAACTTGAATTCTTCCCACTAAACACAGTACAAGCATCTAAACCCAAAGAGATACAAATATGGTTAAAGGTATAGGAACAATCCTGAAGAACAAATAAACCCAGACTTAATCTGATTAAATATTCTTAAATTTCACAAAACATCTGGTTCACATATATTAGCTAAACAATATTCTATATCCCACTCCCAATCCTGGCATAAGCATCAAAGTAGGGAGATTTCTGCAAAAAGAGAAATCTCCTTCATTATATGTGCATGTGAAGCAAAAATACACACGCTTCACTGTTTTTAGTGAAGTACCACATGAGGTCCCTTCCGACTTGTCTCTCAGCCGCCTGCTCAGAGATCAATTTAGATTATAAAGCTCGTTTTGAGGAAAATTGGGTTGTAGTAGCTCGTTTTCTACGTTACTATGATTGGAAAATAGGTGTCATTTGTGTTTTAACAACGTTTAGCTCATGAGTTGTTGATCCAGGAATTTCGAATCTGTAAATATATTGCCAACTTTACTGAACTCCTTGAGTTAAGCACTTAAACACCGCATTTCTTTATATTTGAGTCCAAGTTCAAACACTATGAACCCCTCCACTGTTAAGGTACGGAGCTCTGAAACACTGCCAGCGGGACATTAAACAGGAAGTGATTGTCCGAGGACAAACTCAGCTCAGCTGTCCGAACAGGTTTTGCAAGGGAACGCAAATATCTTTGCGAGGGAACGTAAAAGTTTTGCGAGGGGACACAAAAGATTGAAAAAAAATTTTTACACCACCTTGTCCCTTTAGGGTAGGGATGGGCAACTTCGGTCCTGGAGGGCCACTGTCCTGCAGAGTTTAGCTTCAGCCCTGATAAAAACTCACCTGCCTGTATCTATCTAGTAATCCTGAAAACCTATTTACTTTACTGTTCTATATTAAAATGTCCTCACACTGAGAGAAAGAACATGTTATCTGGATGTTTTGGAAAAGTCTCCTGTTTATAGTTAGAGCCCAACCAAATCCAACCTTGAAGAAGCTGTGTCTGTGTGTTAGTACTTTGGGTTATAGGCTGACTTGTTGTTCCGGACAAGCTGGTACCTAGAAATGCAGTTCTGTGACCTGGAAGGTCACAATGTGCCTATATCCAGGGTACGGGTGTCAGCCGCATAATCGATTGAGATATGCTTCTGTCTATCTGTCTATGTGTGGAAAATTACTATGTTAATCTATTTCTTAGCCAATCAGAATCATTCAACCTGAAGTAATGACGTAGCTTAGACCTTGGTAAAATTGCTGTGATTTTAGTAAATGTAAAACAGAGCGGCCTACAAACTCTTTGTGAGTCTTGAAGATGACTTCTGCCTGATCAAACTGCAAACTATCTTCAGTAAAATGTTCTTCAAATGACTGCACTTCTGACTCCGGGTCTTTATTCATCATATCTGGTTCTGGGTCTTTAACTGTTTTGTCCCCAACACCAGGCCATGGATAACACAATGATATCACAGTGTCAGGCCTGGATTTGCCATGCCAGAAGAGTCTTTACAGGATGTTTAGCTAATGAAAATAAGATGAGAACCTGTGGCCAAACCCACAAGACAGGGTTGATGGAAATAAAAGTGCAGTGAGGAACACTCCAGTTGACATTTTACTGTAGTCTTTCTTTTTTCTTTGACTGATTTGATTATTTCATCAATAAATCTCAGATTTTGTTCAATGATTCCGCTGTGTCTGTACTATTCTCTCTAGTCTTTTACAGTGATGTATGTATGTATGTGTAGAACATGAAACCTGCATCACATATTTTGTACAACAATATTTAATGATTGTACTAACTACACATTGGAACTATCAGTATCTTGTGTGTGGGTGATCTAAAGTAGTGTTCCAATAATATTTCATGATAAATTAGTTATTTGAAGCAATGATTCTGCAAGTGCAAGGCTTCTTTAAAAATATGAATGCAGAGTATTCAGAGATTAATATACACACTGCAGAGTTTTGAACATCAGACAGTCTGTTACAAGTGATGACTGTTTTGAGTTTTGTGTCTTGAGTTTTGAAAAATGACATCAAGGTTCTGAAATTGGTGCTGAAATGATTGTAAAAAAACTTTAATATAACTTTAAGCTAGATGTCCTGTTACTAACTTTTTTTTTCTTTTTTTTTAGAAAAGATTGAAGAGCTAGCACTCCATCAAAAACCCAGCCTACTCGCCTGGTACCGAACAAGTAAATGTAATACAAAGCCTATACATACTGTCCATGTGAGCTTCAACCAAATGTACCTGTGTTCCACAGATTGTTGCAGCTGGCCCAGGGTAGCTCTACACTGAAGGCTGAGAATAGGTACAGAAAAGCCCAGGCTATGATGACGATGTAGGTGATTGAGCCATAGACAATAATCATTTGACTGGCATAACCCATTCCTGAAAAAAGGAGTCATGTTAGTACTACATTTTAAAAACAAATGTTACCTGATTTTAGGTAACATATAGAAATATTGCAATAGAAAAAGTATGCAACAAAAATACACAAAAAAGTATATACTAGAGATAGAGGACACTGTTAAAAATATAGTTAAGCATTTGTTATTTTTTTACTATATTTTATTATTTATTTTAATTAATTTTATTACATTATTTATTAATTATTATATTATTTATTATAGCAACAAAAGCTTGGTGTTGTGGGCCACTGAATTAGTTTAATAAGTTTCTAATGGGTGATAACTAGTTTCTGCAACTTTAAAAATGGTTGCTGAAAAATATATAGCCTATATTTTAATATAAACTTAAATTTAAACTTTTAACACATTAACTTCACCACAGAAACATTGTTAGCAAATGCATTACAAACTGTACAACATTTGACTATATATGAAGCATCACAAAACCCATACTAATTGAGAAGTGCAGCAACCCACCTTCAAAAAGAGGACAGATCTTTCTCCAACATGTGATGCCTCCCTGACTTGTGTACTGACCCAAAGATGTCTCAAGCACAAAAAGCGGGATACCACAAGTAACCAGGTACAGGAAGTATGGAATGAAAAAAGCCCCTAAGGATTTAAGATGTTAGTGGTAAAATAAGATGATAAATAATCATTTTTAAAAAGTCCTATACATAAATCCTACATGTGTTCATTCATGATCTTCAGTATAACATACCACATCAGGATTATATAAATTAAAAATATATATCTATAAAAGTAAACCTAACCTCAACATTTTTATATAGAATATTGCTTAGAAAAAAGGTTTAGAATTTTGTATTTTTCTGAATGCTTTTTGTTTAAATCCAAAAACAAATTGCATATAAAGATGTAACTGGTTATGAATATGTTAACGTTGTATAATGTGATAATAAAAAAAAACAGTAATTTATTAAAAGTATACGTGAAACAGATGGTTTATAAATGCTTCTCAAAAACACAGACAAAAGGATATTATATAGGCTTATAGCACTTCAAAATCCTAATCTCTTTTTAAAGTAATTTTTAAATACTTGTATAAAAAAAATGCTGCCAATGACTTGATCCCTCACAAATAAAATTAAAACCCTAATCAGCAATTGATCAGGTGTAGCCTATTGTCCAATACTCCTCACCTCCTCCATTTTTATAGCAAAGATATGGGAACCTCCAGACATTTCCAAGCCCAATGATAGTTCCGGCTACAGTCAGCAGATATTCAATCTTGTTTGCCCATTTGCCTCTCTCTTCAGGACTTAGATCAGCCTGTTGGTTCACTGTCCGCCTGGTCGTGGTCGAGGGGTCTGCCATACTGTTTATGTGTGGGAGTCTGTGTCTGTCAGCGCGTAGGTGTGCGTGTACGATTCGAAGAAGCTTTTGTATAAGCGCGATTCTTTATAACAGCTTTTAAGCATTACCAGGGGAGGGCGGTAGGTGTTTATGCTGCAGGGAGAGTATAGATGTGTTAACTTGTTCCGTTTAGTCCATTTGTTCTGTGACTGCAGGCATTTTATTAATAAGTTTTCTTCTCAGCAGTGTAGCTATTTCAAAAGGTGTTGTCAGTCAAGTCGTGACCTGTGCAATTATTCTAATGCCCGGCATGATCCCAGCTAGCAGGGAACGTTCTCAGAACTTTGGCTAACATTCCCTGCAAGTTTGGATAATGTTTTAAACAAAACATTTGAATGTAATGTTCAAAGAATGTTTTAAGGATGTTTTCTTATTTCAAATAATGTTTCTAAGGTTAAATGGTAAACTAATATAACGTTTTAACTGTAACATTTTGAGGATGTTTTGGAAATGTTGTTGAGATAACAGATTATACAATGTTCTCAATAAAACATTAGCACACGTTCCATAATAACAGAGGAGAAACATTATTAAATCAACGTTCGTAAAATGTTTGGAGGATATTATTAAGGCTGAGATGGCGGAATGTTTTTTATAAAACGTTCTAATGTGACGTGTTAACAAAGAACATTTTAAATGTAACATTTTGAGGATGTTATCCTATCTTTTAAGAGAACATTCTGGGAACAAAAAGAAAATTACCCGCTGAAAATGTTATAAGAACATTAGGGAATAATGTTCTAACAATGTTATCATTAAACATATTTTTAGAATGCTTTAGGGAATGTTATCTACGGTGGCCGAGAGAGCTCAACGCGCTGCAACTGAAAAAAACGTGTGCAAATAGAAAAAAACACATGCAAATAAAATAAAACGCATGCAAATAGAAAAAAACGCGTGCAAATAAAAAAAGCTGCGTGCTGGTGCTTACAGCTTAAAATTCTACTTTATTTATTTATTTGTGCAAAACATACAGAGATTACATTTTTTTATGACATACAACTTGTATACAATGTACAAAATGTATAGAGGGAATGCATTAACGTCACTTCCCCGCCGGAACACGCCCCCCTCAGCGGGACTGAGTGGCAGAAGAGCTGCTGCGTGACTGGAGTTAATAGGGGAAACTGCGAAAACGCGAGTAAAACAAACTATTATCAGTTTAAACTAAAAGTTGGACTCGATATAGTGTTCCTTACAACTTATCAAAGATCCAGTGATCCATGGATATTGACATGCAGCCAGGAGTTGTGTTTCCTGACATTTATATGTGCCTGATTTCGACACCGGGGAAATAAATGAAGACAATTTGCCTGTAAACGTTTTATATAAATACAATATAGATAGGTCTAAATCCGAGTGATCACTTACATTAATGTTATACTGTATATCATCATATCGTCCAGCCCTAAAACTTGTATAGTTTTTTGTCAGTGTTTATTTAAAAACATCCAATTATGCAGAATATAGTCTGTTCTGTAGCTTTTTGCAGTCTGTAAAAATATACAGTACCTCAGATTTCTGGTCAAATCTAGTTGTACAGTCAATCGCAAAGCTCTTTCCCGTTTTAGATGTGTTTTGTGTGATTTTCACGGCATTCACGCTGAAAACAAATGCTGCCGCTCAGTCTTTTTGCCACTTGTGGGCGTGACCGCATTCACTCCGGCCGACAGTGACGTCATGCGCATACCCTCTATTAACAATATGTTCAATGTCATCAGAATACAAATGAGAAAAGAACAATGAGCTGGAAACTAAAATAAATAAATAAAGAAGAAAAACATGAAGGAAAGATATTTATCTATACATCAGTTACACTGTACAAATTATTTCATGTTATTACATTTTCATAAAGAAAAGTTTCGTAAGAAATGTTAGGTAATGTGGGTCCAAAAAATATAAAAGTTGAGACACACAGATATATAACGTATATTTTAAAAGCTTTTTTGTAAACTAAAAATAAAAATGTATTTGCATCCGTTATGTTAACAGCATTATATTTCTGTCGTAAGACCAGCTGATGGACACCGTGCTGCGTTGTCATGGGAACATCCCAGGTGAAAATAATGAGGAAATTGTTGTCTTTCGTTGCTCCTTCATCAAGTGCGTTCCACACGGCTGCCTAACAGCACACTAGAGCCCTGCTCACTCCACAGTCCCACTTTAAGGGCTCAGCAATCTGCCCTTCGAAGGGAGTAGGGCATAGGAAAGCTCACGAGCAATAAGCACGTCCCAGCCGGGTTCGTCACTTATTTGGTTCCCCTGGAAACATTTCCGTTGTGGTCTGTGTTATTTGCAGCGCGTTTCTCTATTTGCTTGTGTTGTGAACTTTTGCAGCGCGTTTCTAAATTTGGAGCACACGTGTGTTGTGAAACTGATGAAGATGTTTTTTTGTTTTTTTTTTGCACGCGTGTTTTTCTATTTGCATGTGTTTTTTTCTATTTGCATGCGTTTTTTTCTATTTGCACGCGTTTTTTTCTATTTGCATGTGTTTACTTCAGTTGCAGCGCGTTTATCCTACCTTTTAGGAGAACAAAAATAAAACTACCCGCTGTAAACATTATCAGAACACTGCATGGTATAATCTTCTCAGAACATTTTTAGAACAAAAAAAATCTAGCTGGGGAGTCTGAGCGGAGGGCTATGAGGTGCCCCTAGGGACATTATTCAGAATTACCTTGCATATACATGTACTTTTCCTCTCACATACACATATAAAACCAAATTCATTCACATACTATAATGAAATGCTCACACACATACAAGTGAAATGCTTTTACAAACACAACTGAAACGCTCTCATACATACAACTGAACATGTTACGCTCACTCACACACACAACTGAAACGCTCACACACACACAACTGAAATGCTCTCATACATACAACTGAAAATATTATGCTCACACACATAACTGAAACACACACACACACAACTGAAACGCTCTCATACATACAACTGAACATGTTACGCTCACTCACACACACAACTGAAACGCTCACACACACACAACTGAAATGCTCTCATACATACAACTGAAAATATTATGCTCACACACATAACTGAAACACACACACACACAACTGAAATGCTCACACACATACAAGTGAAATGCTTTTACAAACACAACTGAAACGCTCTCATACATACAACTGAAAATATTACGCTCACACACACACAACTGAAATGCTCACACACATACAAGTGAAATGCTTTTACAAACACAACTGAAACGCTCACATACATACAACTGAAAATATTACGCTCACACACACAACTGAAACGCTCACACACACACAACTGAAATGCTCACACACATACAAGTGAAATGCTCTCACACACACAAGTGAAATGCTCACACACATACAAGTAAAATGCTTTTACAAACATAACTGAAACGCTCTCACTCACACAACTGAAAATCATTTCAGTATGTTATATGCAAGCATTTCAGTATGTTGTATGCAAGCATTTCAGTATGTTGTATGAAAGCATTTCAGTTGAAACGGAAGGTGGTTAGAGTCCCCGCCCACTCCAGCAGGGTTGCCAGATGCCAAGGTTTTCCATCACAAAACCTCGCCAAAAACTGCGAGAATGCACAAAAAAACGCCCAAATTTGTTTTGGCTTGTTTCTCGTTTAAACACAGTGAAATCATTAGCAAGCTTCAAAATTACCCATGGTCCGTGTACTTTTGCGTGCATTCGTTTTCCCCTTTTTAACCCGTAATTGAAAAACGAAAAATGGTTGTTGTAGGCCCTATTTTTAAAACGCAAAGTTGAACACCAAAATTGGAATTTGAACTGTAGCCTATACACCAAATGCTACGCAAAAAAATAAATGTTGAAGTATTTTCCGATTTTTGTATGTGACTTTTTGCCCCTTTATTAAACATTTAAAATATTCACAAATTAATATGCAAAAAAATTGATTTTACTGGTTTTCTAACTAAGGCCAAACCAGGAAATGATATTTTTCCCGCAGTGCTGAATGAAAAGAGCCATAGCCTACTCTCGAACCATACAGAGAGATGATTTAGGCTATAGGTGATTTATAATCTGAAAAAATAACGAGGCTATACCTCCATCTCCGCTGTAAGGATGGGCCTTTAGAGAGAAATTCATATGGATTGCATTATCAGACGGTATTTGCTTTCGATTCGAATTGGTTCTTTAAAAGTGGACATTTCAAGCTTTAGCCTACATAGGCTATATTTTGTTTCAGTTCATTTTTGAGACGCGATCACGGAGACCATGAAAGCTCGCCTGATTGTTTTATTTTATTTTACAAAAGCACAACGTTTTCTTGTTATTGTGAGTTTACACAAATAAAAGTAGTTGCGAATGATGTATTATTATTTTCTGTATGACCAGAAATTATAGAGTATTTTAAGTTGTTTCCACTGCTGATAGGAAAACGCAAGTGTTCGCGCCTCCGTGCCATGCAGTGCGCGCTCCACACTCGCACAAACCTTTGGATAAGCGTCACAATCTTGTGTTTATTTGTAATAATCTTAGCCCTGTATTATTATTGTCTAACCTGTATTATGACTGAGCGTTTCAGTTGTGTTTGTAAAAGCATTTCACTTGTATGTGTGTGAGCATTTCAGTTGTGTGTGTGTGAGTGTTTCAGTTATGTGTGTGAGCATAATATTTTCAGTTGTATGTATGAGAGCATTTCAGTTGTGTGTGTGTGAGCGTTTCAGTTGTGTGTGTGAGCGTAACATGTTCAGTTGTATGTATGAGAGCGTTTCAGTTGTGTTTGTAAAAGCATTTCACTTGTATGTGTGTGAGCATCTCATTATAGTATGTGAATGAATTTGGTTTTATATGTGTATGTGAGAGGAAAAGTACATGTATATGCAAGGTAATTCTGAATAATGTCCCTAGGGGCACCTCATAGTGGGCTGCCAACTCTCACGCATTGAGCGTGAGACTCGCGCAATTGACATTTTCCACACGC